AGTATATGTCGACAAAAAACGAGAAGGGACGTGTGAGACGCTTCTTACGCGTCACAACTTTTATACCCGGCACTCAGGACTACATCTAGATGTAGAAGACATCGCCAACCACTAGATATCGTTCACATTACAGAACACGTAGTAAAAGCCTACTAAATAAAATGCATCAAACAAATTGGATCAGTTAATATTTTCCAATTTATGAGATATTTAAAACAGCAATAAAATTGGTACATTCTTGGACCGATAGGTTTCACAGCAAAATTTTTCGAATGTGGCGCCATCTATGAAAGTTTCTTGTACGCAACTTTGATGGTCCAATGGTCTGCACATTCTGTGCAATAATAACCGATAGGTTTCACAGCAAATTTTTCGAAAGTTGTGTCATCTATGACGCCATCTTGTACGCAACTTTGGTGGTCACTCTTTTCCTAATACAGAGCGTTAAAGCCCGAGTCTTGGTTAAAAGTCGGAAGAGTCAACGCCAGGGGGAGGGCAGAAGCAGGGGCCGAGTGAAGCAGAAGCAGAGTGTGAATGAGAGAATGTAAAAAGAGCAACAAAAGCTGCGGGACAGTGTGGGTTTAGCCACTGGAAATTAATTTCTCCATTGTGGCTATAATAATGATCCGATCGGATCGGATTTGGTGATCTGATAGATATGTCCATTCCCTACGGAATGGCGTGGCTCATTTTTTAAATACACTGGTTTCAGTGTGAGCATACAGCAGTCTGGATGCAAAATTTGGTGGCTCTAGCTCTTATAGTCTCTGAGAACGAGCCGACAAACAAGACGGAAAGACGGATAGACGGACGGACGGACAGACAGACATGGCTCTATCGACTCGGCTATTGATGCTGATCAAGAATATATATATTTTATGGGGTCGGAAACGCTTCCTTCTGTGCGTTACATACAACCGTTATTCGCACAAATACAATATACCCTATTTACTCTTTGAGTACCGGGTATAAAAATGGTTAAAACCATATTAGTGCGCTCTTATACTCTATCCTTCCTCATTCCCTCTCTTATAATCTTTGTAACATGCAATAAAAGTAATTTGTTTTCCACTTACGTGCATATCTCGGAACCTTCCATCTCCAAAAGCGATGGCGGCGAGGCGGCGAATCTGTTGCACTTTTAAAAAAGGGAAGACAAAAAATAAAAGAAAGCACAAACACAAAAGGCTAGGGTGGGACAAAAAAAAAACTAGAGATGTGTATATAACAATTTAAACGAAGGGTTATTTAACCGACATTTCCCGGTTAGAAAATCGCGGCTTCCCCGTCCAGACGGTGGCTTCGGAGGTGCGAATTAAACTACTTCTCGTCCAATTGCAGCGGCTTCTCTCGGCTTTAGTTGCGCATAATATTGGCGAATTCGGCGAATTATTCGGCACTGCCGTAGACAAAACAGCTGTTTTTGTTGGTTGCTTTTCTACTCGGCGAATTGAGTGATTTGATTGCCATTAATACACGGCTTTGGTTGAAGGGTGAATGAACTTGTAGCTTCAATGTAACAGATTTGCACTAAGCACTAAGTGCAAATCTGCACTTGCAAAAACGGAAAACAAAAGGAAAAAATAGAAGAAAAAAAAAGTTTGATTCTACCGTTTCACAATTTTCTGCTTAACAAAAAAAAAACACGAACAAGAATGTATGGCTTACCGCTTATTTGCGTTTCGCACTTTTCGATATTCTAAGCGGCTCAGCGACGGCTGTATTTCTCTTCAGGTATTTTCTGAATATCTTTGTACAGTTTTCAGCCGCGGTTAAAGCTCTTCGCACTAAAACTTGGGTTTGGTCTGAGAAGCGACTTGATCGCCTCACGTCCAGAATTGAAAAGACCGTGGCATTAGCTGAACTTCCTGCACACCCCGGTTAACAGCGAAAATGGGACATACGTCATTTCCAAAATGTTAACATGATTACAAATAAACCTCTCTTCACCTGGAACTTCTACCACCTTGTACCGTCGATCAGCTGATGTACCATACCGGAGCTAGCAAAAATTTACGAAAGTCAAAGGCATACTTTCGGCCACTAACAAAAAAAGTCTCACCCAAAAACAAGCGTCCCTACAAAACTGGGATCCGATTGGATCATTATTATAGCCAGAATGAAGAAATTAATTTTCAGTGGCTAAACCCAACCTGTCCCGCAGCTCTTATAGTCTCTGAGAAACAGGCGTCAAACAAAACGGACAGACATGGCTTTATCGACTGGACCATCGAAACTGATCAAAAATATATATATTTTATGGGGTCGAAATCGTTTCCTTCTGTATGTTACATTTTTCGACCACTAATACAATATACCCCATTTTCTCTTCGAGTACCGGGTATAAAAACTGAAAGCCCATTTTGATTGTTCTTTATTTTTATACCCGGTATTCAAAGAGTAAATATTGTATTTGTGCGAATAACGGTTGTATGTAACGCACAGAAGGAAGCGTTTCCGACCCCATAAAATATATATATTCTTGATCAGCATCAATAGCCGAGTCGATAGAGCCATGTCTGTCTGTCCGTCCGTCCGTCTATCCGTCTGTCCGTCTTGTTTGTCGGCTCGTTCTCAGAGACTATAAGAGCTAGAGCCACCAAATTTTGCATCCAGACTGCTGTATGCTCACACTGAAACCAGTGTATTTAAAAAATGAGCCACGCCATTCCGTAGGGAATGGACATATCTATCAGATCACCAAATCCGATCCGATCGGATCATTATTATAGCCACAATGGAGAAATTAATTTCCAGTGGCTAAACCCACACTGTCCCGCAGCTTTTGTTGCTCTTTTTACATTCTCTCATTCACACTCTGCTTCTGCTTCACTCGGCCCCTGCTTCTGCCCTCCCCCTGGCGTTGACTCTTCCGACTTTTAACCAAGACTCGGGCTTTAACGCTCTGTATTAGGAAAAGAGTGACCATCAAAGTTGCGTACAAGAAATTTTCATAGATGGCGCCACTTTCGAAAAATTTGCTGTGAAACCTATCGGTCCAAGAATGTACCAATTTTATTGCTGTTTTAAATATCTCATAAATTGGAAAATATTAACTGATCCAATTTGTTTGATGCATTTTATTTAGTAGGCTTTTACTACGTGTTCTGTAATGTGAACGATATCTAGTGGTTGGCGATGTCTTCTACATCTAGATGTAGTCCTGAGTGCCGGGTATAAAAGTTGTGACGCGTAAGAAGCGTCTCACACGTNCAAAAGGGCGAAAACCTCCCAAATCTACAGTTTTGAAGATAAAAGAAAACTAAAAACGCCATTCCGTAGGAAATGGCCATATCTATCAGATCACCAAATTGGGATCCGATCGGATCATTATTATAGCCACAATGGAGAAATTAATTTCCAGTGGCTAAACCCACACTGTCCCGCAGCTTTTGTTGCTCTTTTTACATTCTCTCATTCACACTCTGCTTCTGCTTCACTCGGCCCCTGCTTCTGCCCTCCCCCTGGCGTTGACTCTTCCGACTTTTAACCAAGACTCGGGCTTTAACGCTCTGTATTAGGAAAAGAGTGACCATCAAAGTTGCGTACAAGATGGCGTCATAGATGACACAACTTTCGAAAAATTTGCTGTGAAACCTATCGGTTATTATTGCACAGAATGTGCAGAC